TAAGAAAATGTTATTCGAACAATTAGCTGTGATTTTAGAACAATATATAATAAATTATTAACTAAAATGCATTTGGAAGTGATTGACATATCATCGATTGTATGCTCCAGTTGTTGGACTGTATAGATGTGCTTAATTACGATATTTTAATTTGAGAAGAATATCGTAATTTTGCACTCTATAAAGTCCACTAACTATTCAGCAAGTAGAAAGGAATTGAACGAAACTATATATATGAAAACAAACAACCAATTTTGATATATAATACATTTTCAATTGCTATATCAACGTCCTAGAAAATAATTAGTTATGAAAGAAACAAAGTGACTAATATTATCTCGTTTGTTTATTCCAATAGCTGGTCTTTATTGGACATTCAACTCGCTATATTTTAATTATAGAAATATGTATATCGTAATTTTATTTCGTATAATATATTATTTTATTCATAAGAAAATGTTATTCGAACAATTAGCAGTGAGTTAAGAACAATATTTAATAAATTATTAACTAAAATGCATTTGGAAGTGATTGACATATCACCGATTGTATGCTCCAGTTGTTGGACTGCATAAATGTGCTTAATTACGATATTTTAATTTGAGAAGAATATCGTAATTTTGCACTCTATAAAGTCCACTAACTATTCAGCAAGTAGAAAGGAATCAAACGAAACTATATATATGAAAGCAAACAACCAATTTTGATATATAATACATTTTCAATTGCTACATTAATGTTCTAGAAAATAATTAGTTATGAAAGAAACAAAGTGACTAATATTTTCTCATTTGTTTATTCCAGCAGCTGGTCTTTATTGGACATTTAACTTGATATATTTTAATTATAGAAATATGTATATCGTAATTTTATTTTGTATAATATATTATTTTATTCATAAAAAAATGTTATTCGAACAATTAACTGTGATTTTAGAACAATATTTAATAAATTATTAACTAAAATGCATTTGGAAGTGATTGACATATCATCGATTGTATGCTCCAGTTGTTGGACTGTACAGATGTGCTTAATTACGATATTTTAATTTGAGAAGAATATCGTAATTTTGCACTCTATAAAGTCCACTAACTATTCAGCACGTAGAAAGGAATTGAACGAAACTATATATATGATATGAAACAACCAATTTTGATATATAATACATTTTCTATTGTTATGTTAATGTCCTAGAAAATAATTAGTTATGAAAGGAACAAAGTGACTAATTTTTTCTCGTTTGTTTATTCCAATAGCTGGTCTTTATTAGATATTTAACTTGATATATTTTAATTGTAGATGTATGTATATCGTAATTTTATTTCGTATAATATATTATTTTATTCATATGAAAATGTTATTCGAACAATTAACTGTGATTTTAGGACAATATTTAATAAATTATTAACTAAAATGCATTTGGAAGTGATTGATATATCATCGATTGTATGCTCCAGTTGTTGGACTGTATAGATGTACTTAATTACGATATTTTAATTTTAAAAGAATATCGTAATTTTGCACTCTATAAAGTCCACTAACTGTTCCGCAAGTAGAAAGGAATTGAACGAAACTATATATATGGAAGCAAGTAAGTAATTTTGATATATAATACATTTTCTAGTGTTATGTTAATGTCCTAGAAAATAATTAGTTATGAAAGGAACAAAGTGACTAATATTATCTCGTTTGTTTATTCCAATAGCTGGTCTTTATTGGACATTTAACTTGCTATGTTTTAATTGTAGATGTATGTATATCGTAATTTTATTTCGTATAATATATTATTTTATTCATAAGAAAATGTTATTCGAACAATTAGCTGTGATTTTAGAACAATATTTAATAAATTATTAACTAAAATGCATTTGGAAGTGATTGACATATCACCGATTGTATGCTCCGGTTGTTGGACTGCATTATTGTGCTTAATTACGATATTTTAATTTAGAAGAATATCGTAATTTAGCACTCTATAAAGTCCACTAACTATTCAGCACGTAGTAAGGAATTAAACGAAACTATATATATGAAAACAAGTAACCAATTTTGATATTTAATATATTTTTAATTGCTATATTAATGTTCTAGAAAATAATTAGTTATGAAAGGAACAAAGTGAGTAATATTTTCTCGTTTGTTAATTCCAGTAGCTGGTCTTTATTGGACATTTTGCTTGCTATATTTTAATTATGGAAATATTTATATCGTAATTTTATTTCGTATAATATATTATTTTATTCATGAGAAAATGTTATTCGAACAATTAGCAGTGATTTTAGAACAATATTTAATAAGTAATTAACTAAAATGCATTTGGAAATGATTGACATATCATCGATGGTATGCTCCAGCTGTTGGACTGTATAGATGTGCTTAGTTACGATATTTTAATTTAGAAGAATATCGTAATTTAGCACTCTATAAAGTCCACTAACTATTCCGCACGTAGAAAGGAATTGAACGAAACTATATATATGAAAACAAGTAACCAATTTTGATATTTAATATATTTTCAATTGCTATATTAATGTTCTAGAAAATAATTAGTTATGAAAGAAACAAAGTGACTAATATTTTCTCGTTTGTTTATTCCAGTAGCTGGTCTTTATTGGACATTTAACTTGCTATGTTTTAATTGTAGATGTATGTATATCGTAATTTTATTTCGTATAATATATTATTTTATTCATGAGAAAATGTTATTCGAACAATTAACTGTGATTTTAGAACAATATTTAATAAATTATTAACTAAAATGCATTTGAAAGTGATTGACATATCATCGATTGTATGCTCCAGTTGTTGGACTGTATTGATGTGCTTAATTACGATATTTTAATTTTAGAAGAATATCGTAATTTTGCACTCTATAAAGTCCACTAACTATTCCGCACATAGAAAGGAATTGAACGAAACTATATATATGAAAACAAGTAACCAATTTTGATATATAATACATTTTCTATTGTTATGTCAACGTCCTAGAAAATAATTAGTTATAAAAGAAACAAAGTGACTAATATTTTCTCGTTTGTTTATTCCAGTAGCTGGTCTTTATTGGACATTTAACTTGATATATTTTAATTATAGAAAAATGTATATCGTAATTTTATTTCGTATAACATATTATTTTATTCATAAAAAAATGTTATTCGAACAATTAGTTGTGATTTTAGAATAATATTTAATAAATTATTAACTCAAATGCATTTGGAAGTGATTGACATATCATCGATTGTATGCTCCGGTTGTTGGACTGTATAGATGTGCTTAATTACGATATTTTAATTTGAGGAGAATATCGTAATTTTGCACTCTATAAAGTCCACTAACTATTCAGCACGTAGAAAGGAATTAAACGAAACTATATATGTGGAAGCAAGTAAGTAATTTTGATATTTAATATACTTTCAATTGTTTTATAAATGTCCTTGAAAATAATTAGTTATGAAAGAAACAAAGTGACTAATATTTTCTCATTTGTTTATTCCAGTAGCTGGTCTTTATTAGATATTTAACTTGATATATTTTAATTGTAGATTTATGTATATCGTAATTTTATTTCCTATAATATATTATTTTATTCATATGAAAATGTTATTCGAACAATTAACTGTGATTTTAGAATAATATTTAATAAATTATTACCTAAAATGCCTTTGGAAGTGATTGACATATTATCGATTGTATGTTCCAGTTGTTGGACTGTATTATTGTGCTTAATTACGATATTTTAATTTGAGAAGAATATCGTAATTTTGCACTCTATAAAGTCCACTAACTATTCAGCATGTAGAAAGGAATTGAACGAAACTATATATATGAAAACAAGTAACCAATTTTGATATTTAATATATTTTTAATTGCTATATTAATGTTCTAGAAAATAATTAGTTATGAAAGGGACAAAGTGACTAATATTTTCTCGTTTGTTTATTCCAGTAGCTGGTCTTTATTGGACATTTAACTTGATATATTTTAATTATAGAAATATGTATATCGTAATTTTATTTCGTATAATATATTATTTTATTCATAAAAAAATGTTATTCGAACAATTAGCTGTGATTTTAGAATAATATTTAATAAATTATTAACTCAAATGCATTTGGAAGTGATTGACATATCATCGATTGTATGCTCCAGTTGTTGGACTGTATAGATGTGCTTAATTACGATATTTTAATTTGAGAAGAATATCGTAATTTTGCACTCTATAAAGTCCACTAACTATTCAGCACCTAGAAAGGAATTAAACGAAACTATATATGTGGAAACAAGTAACCAATTTTGATATTTAATATATTTTCAATTGTTTTATAAATGTCCTAGAAAATAATTAGTTATGAAAGAAACAAAGTGACTAATATTTTCTCATTTGTTTATTCCAGTAGCTGGTCTTTATTAGATATTTAACTTGATATATTTTAATTGTAGATTTATGTATATCGTAATTTTATTTCGTATAATATATTATTTTATTGATATGAAAATGTTATTCGAACAATTAACTGTGATTTTAGAGTAATATTTAATAAATTATTACCTAAAATGCCTTTGGAAGTGATTGACATATCATCGATTGTATGTTCCAGTTGTTGGACTGTATTGATGTGCTTAATTACGATATTTCAATTTGAGAAGAATATCGTAATTTTGCACTCTATAAAGTCCACTAACTATTCAGCATGTAGAAAGGAATTGAACGAAACTATATATATGAAAACAAGTAACCAATTTTGATATTTAATATATTTTCAATTACTATATTAATGTTCTAGGAAATAATTAGTTATGAAAGAAACAAAGTGACTAATATTTTCTCGTTTGTTTATTCCAATAGCTGGTCTTTATTGGACATATAACTTGCTATATTTTAATTATAGA